TTTTTGTATTTGTCCAGATATAAGCGGTTAATCGTTGTTTAACTTGGCCGAGGTAAATTGACTTAGCAGAAATTATTAACGTTGTCAATTGTATGATTAATCGCGTTGTTCTCAAATGGCAGTAAGTGTATATGCCAAGCAAGTAAAAACACGACTAGTTACTATGTTATAGCTGTTTAGGATACATTAACGCAGATCATATTATCTTGCAAGCTTAACCGTCAAGTGTACAGACAGTGTAAGTTTAATAGATAAAACTTCATTAGTTCACTGAAACATTGTGAATGTGTTTCGAAGCTCAGCACTACGGCACGGTTTATAATTTACTGCTAAAGTTTTATCGGTTCGGTTACACAACGTTGCGCAATATCGTGGGCGTAAGTTCAATGCTTTTTGGCCGAGGGAAATAGTGGCGCATCCGGCCGCATTGCCAACCCGACCGCGCTGGGTGTTACTAATTGTGACTCTAAAAAGTCAGACTTCCCCCAAGTCGGTTACTACACTATCGGCGCGGTAGTATAGTTTTAATTTTATGTCGTGGCCAAATGTTTTTTAATATTTGGCTTTAATCGGTTTATTGGCAACATTCACCTGGTCAGTTATTTGGATGAATATTTGTTGGTTACCCATTTTAAAACAAATATCAATATATGGATTTGTGGACCTTTCGTGGTCAACTTATGAAACAATATCAATGTAACGAATCAAATAATTTAGGTATTTGATGTACTGAATATAATTATTGTTGTTATAGAACAATTGTCCAGATCTAAGAACCAGAAAACAAAGTAGGTCCATTCGGTCGTCAAAGGGATTATCCGAATCAAGTATACGACACTTTCACTTTTTCTTATTAAAAAATAAAGCAAAAAAATATTACCCACGTGCAAAAAAAAAAAAGAAAAGAAAATGAAAACCAACGCCGGTCTTTCACAATAAATATTATTATGTATGTATTGTAAACGACCTTGCTGTACACTTCTGTTTTGTTGTTAAGACAAAATACACACACATTGTTGTCGTCGTGAAAGAAAACAATGATTGGCACCTAGTAAGGTAAATCTTATGCCGAGACTTGTTTAAGGAGGCGGTGACTGACACTGTGCTCGGTCCAAAACTCGGACAATCTTAATAATAATAGTACTTTGAAACTGGGCCAAAAAATGGCACACACAAATAGCGACCGACACCGAAATAGACGAACCGAGTCGTCGAGTTCAATACTGCAATATCTGTTTTCTCAGACGGACTCCTCGAGTCCACAAGTTTCTGAGATTAGTATAATAAAGTGTCAGACAGCCGTTTTTTGGTTTGTACTTGCCGGTTTTTTTTTACTAGTCTATTCCTTTGGTTTTACATAATATACTCTGTTAGTATGATAGTAACAGTGTGGAAACAGTTGAAAACCATACCAAATGAATAAAGCTATTGTAATAATATGTTAACGTGACGACTGTATTGGATGAAGTCCAGCCAAAACTCACATTACATGAAAATATATTGTACACATTCAGACATTAAATTCCAATCACATTTTCCATGTTTTATGTACATCAACTATACAACTGTGATATTGTAAAATATCATATTACAATATCTTTTTTTTTTTAAAGTGTGTACACTAAGAAACCCAAATGGAATGAACCGATTGGTTGAAAAAATATGTATTAGGATGGGCCTTAAAAATTATCTTATTTTTACACATAATTATTATTTTAACTATTTTGAAAACTGTGGTCGTTTTTTGGACTTTTAATTTTTACCTTTTTTTTTGTTTTCATGGAAATCCCAATTTGGAATTTACACATTTCATGTCAACATTTCTTCGGCTTTTCGAAAAAATATTAAGGAAATTCTCAAATTTTGTACAACGCGAAAAAAAAACACTTTTTAGATTCCAAACTAGATTTGAATGACTTTTAATCAATATTCTTTCCAAAAAGCCTAGATTATTTTATGCGCAAGTAACCGGTTTTAAATCACTGTTTTTTTTTATGGCTAAGGATATTGTAAAAAAAAAAAAAGATAAAAAAGAAGTGCCAAGAAAAATAACTAAATATACTTTTTACGACCGCAGCCAAAATGGTAGGAAAAAAAATCCAAAAAAAATTTGAGAATATTCTTTTCATCTTAACAGACTTAAGGTGTAATTTTCAAAAAAAATCCGCATGTATTTATTGGACCTATATATATATATATATGTATTATGTTTAATCAACGATTGAGCTGTATAAATATTGTAGTTGATATTAGGTATATTGTATTTTAATTGAAACTAGAAGCTATGCTAGACTGGTATTTTTTTCTTATCACGTTAATCGATAAGACACAAAAATGTCTCGTGCCAACTCAGCGGGTAGTATTTTTTTTTTGCAGCCCGCACAGAACAATGAACACACATTGTACCTACTTGTTACTGTATAGATAATAGTTTTTTATTATTATTTTTTTTTACTTCTATTGTATACATTGATCGAACGGCTAACGTGTGTTTCTGCGGTTTTGTGTAATTAAGATTTTTTTAAAACTAATTTTAATAAAAAAAAAAAAAAAAATACAGCTGTTGTACGACAGCGGAATTTAATATCTTATTATAATTGAATTATTTTCAGGGAAAGCCATTTTCAGAGGATCAGCCGTGAGGTGGTTAGCATTGATCACTATACGTGCAAATCATTTTTAATTGTTTAAAACACAAACCGAAACGTATCTCAACATTGACAGGTTGACATCGGTTACTGTCACAGCTAAAACGGCATTTAATTAATCAGCAATTCGCGCTCAGGCAATACACAAAATATAGAAACGACCAAAACGCTTGTTTTTTTTTTTTTTATGTGCATGGCAAGTATTTTATATATATAATTTTAAAAAAATGTGAGACAAACGCGTTTTTTTTTTGCAGACCATTGATTTTTCACCGAGCAAGCGACCCGGAACTGCTGTGCCCAAGGACTTGGACGTGTCTATTTACTTATCGATTTTATTTTATTACTTTAAACAGAATTGAAATGGGAAAAAAAAGCACATAAATAAAAAATTATTACCCTCTCTTGGGCTGTAGCCGTTGCTTCGGTTACCATTTTTTACCTACCAAAGTTTATTTAAACAAAATATTTACAATCTTTACACAACGTTTGACGTCAGATTTATACTACTTGGCCAAAAGGCAAAATTCGACAAATTGCTTTTTGACATTGTAATTGTGTATTTTTATTTCTGTAGCTGCTACCGAAGCGTTTTTTTTCCCACTTTGGTTTGTGTACACCGTTCAAGTTATTTATAATTTAACAAGTCAGTGGTCGACTTTGGGTGTCCATCAATTATATAATTTATTACCGCCTATAGTCGTTACCGGTAGTGTTCGTTATCGGTTATCACACACATTACACAGCCGGTCAATTTGCCACTAAGCTCATTCAACGTCTTATATTTCAATCACCCGAATTGTCATATTATTAAAGATTTACAAAAGTAATTGGCCAAGCAACGGTATAGGTACAATGTGCGTTTTCACGTGACATTGAAATATACCTTTCTTATTATTTTAGAGAAAAAAAAAGCGAGCAACATTTAATTGTTAGTATGTTTTATGATATTTCTCTTAACCACGCGATTAAAGTTTCACAATCGTTAACGCCGTCACTATAATAATTTATCAATTAGGTTTTTTTGTATTTCTTGATAAAAAATAAAGAACCAAGTTTCAAGCATTATCATATACAGCAGTTCAATACAGAGTGATCAATTTAACGTAAGACACTCATTTTCTCATTTTTGTAGACACTTAAGTTCACGTAATTTTACAATATTATAGACAAAAGTCAAAGTTTTATCTTTTTTATTATTTTCCTAGAGCTCCTGTAACAGTTTTGAAACGTGTACCTACATATTTAATTAACTTTTTAGATTAATATTAACACTACAGTCCATTCTTCTTGCCGTCCTGAATGTTTTAATCGTTAATAACTTTCAAAGTAATTATCCAAAACTGGTCATTGACCAGACAACATAAAATAAAAAAAATTATGTGTTCCACTTTAAATCGATCACTCTGTACAACAGTGTTAATATTATTAAACACAATATTGTATTTAACGCGGGCATACGCGCTTTTCGTTTATTTATTTTATATTCAATTTTAACACATTCGAAATTAATTAGCTACCGCTGTAGGCCGACACCACGTTAGGAGGTCGGGGTCAAACGATTGGCGATGAACCCGTTTAAATCTATATTAGCCATTTCATTTGCAGTGCGTTAAGTTTAATAACCGTAATAATATGTAATAAACGGTTTTGAACGAAAATCAATATATATATATTATATATTTTGCTCGTGTTATGTCATTGTTTGTTTTTGTTTCTGTGTTTGTCTATCTGTGTTTAACACACCGTCGTTAACACGTGTCGCCCGCAATTTTCTATTTTAAGCTTTTCCAGATGGAAGTTTGACACGAATTTGACAGCTCGTAATTTTATATTGGTTTTTTTTTTTTTGACGAGCTATCAAAAAAGACTTACTACGATTGGTCGAAAAATCGACAGCACAGCTATTATTGGACGGTAAGGGTCCAATCGTTTGTAATAATTAAATTGGCGGCCAGAACCGTTTGAGCGGTGGGAGGAGTCGGTCGTCACGTGGCCGTCGCTGATTGGTCGGCGTTTCAAGGTCGGCCCGAAGGCCCTTGGTGTAGCCGTGACGTCATAGGCCAATTATCGATTACCGCGCGGGCGGGGTGAGGGCAGAGGGGTTGGGACGGCCAACAGCTGACGGCGCAAACGGCGAAGGGCGCGGACCCAGACGAATCAAGTTGCACGGGGATCAAACGGCATTTTTTCCCCCCCTTAAACCGGCAAAGGCGTAGGAGGAGCACGGGGTGTGTGGATTGCGGTTCACTGACCGGCTGGACCCCTATAGTGGGTACTAGGTAGGCCTCCCGGTTTGCCCTTAATTGTTTCTCGTCCCACCCATTCGTATATTATACTGTGTTTACGTACCTTGTTGGAACGTTTGCCGTCAATGGCCACTATGAAGCCCACGCCGCAAGCTTCCTTTTCCAATTGGGGGTCGTACAGACCGTCTTTGGGCGGTCCCATCCAGGGATCCAGCGGATCGGTCAGATCCATGGCGGCGGCGGTGTTAAGGCGCTGCAAAAACGACGGACGCGGTTATTATTGATAAGACAATGATTAATATCAAAGAATATAAAAATTATTGTAATATTGGATGGAGCACGTACCGCGGCGGTGGGCCGTCGACGGCAAGTCCGACTCGATCAGAACTGGAACGATGACAATTATTTTATATTTTTGTTTTCAAGAAAATAGTAAGGAAAGTAAAATGAGAATGAAGATTAAAATAGAACTCGCTCGCACTAGAAACAAATCACACGCGTACGTTATCCGGACCGAGTCGATGTTGGTCGTTTATTATAGTATCGTGGTGTTGGATTATTATTATTTTATTTGGGTTACACCTTGGGTTGGACGTGTTTGTTTTTCGATCGGTAACGGAGAAAATAACAAAAAAACGGAAACGGAACGGGGCGGCCTGTTTTGCGGCGACAGATGGACCGTCGGCGTGGGACGACGTTATGTGTGTTCGCTGTGCGCGCGTGTGTTTTGCGGTTGTACACGGTAGTTGGAGGACACTGGCCGCGACGAACGTGTGCACAAGACTAAACCGACCGGTGTTGCGAGTGCCAATGGATTTGCCGGCGGTCGTCCGGGGGGAGGTAAACGGTACGCAGACGGTGTTGAGCCGCCGCCGCCGCCTTCGCCTCCGCCACCTCCGCCGCGCCGCCACCGTAGTTTTCGTGTGCCGGAACGACCGGCGCCGCCGCGTGTTCGCGCACAGGCGCACGGCCGGTCGGAATCGACCGCGGCGGTGGCGGCACGGCCGCGACAGTGAGGCCACGGTCGGCCGACCGAAACCCGTGCGTCGCCGTCGTCGCAACAACAATAAATACCGTGCAGCCGCCGCATTATAGTATCACAACAACTACGCATATTGATATTTTGTCGCTTTCATGGGTGGTTACCCCAAACGACAATATACCAAACCTAACCTAACCTAACCTAACCGAACCTAATCTATTCTAACCTAACCTAACCTAACCTAACCTACCTAACCTAACCGAACCTAACCTAATCTAACCTAACCTAACCAAACCCAACCTAATCTAACCTACCCATAAGGTACCTACCAAATGTTACCTAACGCTACAGAGTGATCGGTTTATCTCTATATGAGCCAGTCAATATCTTAGAAATTTATAATTATTAGGTTTTTTTTACTTTTATACATAAGGGATAATAAGACATAAGGGATGAGCTTATGTCGTTGAACAATATATCAAATTCGGGCTAACCAATAACAATTACTTACAGTATTAAAAAAAACTCAAAAGTCTAACAACTTTTAATATTATACTGACTAGATCATATTTGACCAATCACTCTGTACACACATATGGGGCCGTTCTATTTGTCGTTTAAAAGCGTCTCGACGTCCTTTTGTGTGTACAGAAACATATCCCAAAGGGGAACAGACGGTCATAAACCATAAGTAAAGTAACATAAAAAATCAAAGACCCTTGGAATGCAAACACGAGGACGGTCCTTAAACTTGGTCGAGCTTAATAGTAGGGGTTAGATGCTTAAAATTTAGCTTTCTTTGTGTATGATAATCCTGTAGATTAGGAAACTGATATCTATCTTGTAGTTGGTATAATAGTTTTAGTAATGAACGTTTCTGTGATTGCCAGACTAGACAATTTGTGTACATACAATTAAACGGTACTGGCACGTGCGGTAATTGTGCTGTAAATTGGGTTACCTACCGCTCTGATGTATTGTAAGTATAAAACCAAAAGAGAAAAAAAAATAGTTTAACGCTTTCGAGTTTGGCCGCAATTGTCGGTATTAGATTTTGGACATTATACACTGTCAATTTGAATAATCTACACAAATTCTTAGGGCCTGTTATACATTATTAAACGGCGCGTTTGATTGCTATATTAAGTCTAGCATTGTCAATGTATAAATATGGTCTAAGCACACGAAATTAACAATAATTACACATAATGTGTATGTTGTAATATAATAATTAATAGACAGTATATAATTGTATTGTGCCCGACGGCGACAGTGTAATAAGATATATTATGTCTACTAGAGACATTCGGACCGTTTAGGTTTTGTGATTTAAAAAAATAATATCATGAAATTTGAAACCAAAGGCTATCATAGCCATTGGAATTACATTTTTTTAAACGGTCTTAAAAAAAACGGTTTTAATTGCCTTACATGGATCATGCGATCATAATTAAGCTAATTCGTCGGATATCAATATTACAAATACCTAGAAAAAATTACACAAAGCCATCATTTTTTGTTCACAGTAGTTTTCACTTGGTCTAAACGCACGGCTAATGTCATAAAAAACAATTTAATATACCATGACTGAATTGATTTGTTTAGTTCCAATTCATCATTGTGGTTTACAGGGTGAACATATTATCAATATTACACAACGTGATCTTAATTTGTCGCCTTTTTGTTTTTACCCCTTCCAAACTTTTAAAGGGGTTTTGATAGGAACTTTTCAAAACTTAAATAGTTTTAATTGAGTTTTCAAATCGAAAACGATGTACTAAAAAAACGTTGACTGATCGACAAACCGGTTTTGGACAGATATTTTTGAAGTTTTCAAGTTTCAAGTTTAAAGCAGGAGGAAACATGGTAAACAAAAAAATTAAACTTAACCCAAACGCATAGTTACTTACAAACAGCGTGACCGTATTGGAATATTATCATATTCGAATTGATCAACATCCTAATATTGATGTCGTGCCAAACCATACCTAACCAGACGTATATGGAAATACATTTCACTTGTCTGTGTCGCAGATAACTGGTTATGATGTACATGTATATTTTATTATTCTACACGAATATTGTAATACAATATATTGTGCTGACAATGAAACGTAGCTACTCTATGAACAAAAAAAATATATATATATAAAAAAAAACAGCCAAGTCTCAACTAGGAAATCAACTATAAAGCAGCGACATTGTAGTTGGTGTCAAGGGACGCGTTACCATCCGAGACTCAATCTCAATAGCGTTTAAAAGAATATATTATAGGTCCAAGTATATTATAATGTATACCGGTCACTTAACCTAAAAACGGGAAGGCCACACTTTCAATACGCCATTACACTTATAATACGTATAATAAAATAGGTCGTTATAATATTTTAAACGTGAACAGTTATCAGTTGTCGTTTTGGAATCAATACTTTTCCATTTAAACATAACAATATGCTATTGAAAAAAACTGCGACATCATTTAGATTAAATGTAGCGAATGCCGTATAAATATTATACTATCATGATATACTATGTACCGTATGTACAAATATCGTTGTGTAATTAAATCACACATCATTATTTCATTTGTTAGTCACCATCATCGTCCGATTCGGTAGACGGAATGCAAAACGGCGATAAACGAATTTTCGTTTGACATTTAGACAAATCTGAACTATCATGTATAGTGATAATAGTTTCATGCAAGACGTACAATTGGTTACTATAGCCATCGTTATGGATAAGTCATATATATATATATATTGATGAAACTATTATCACTATATGATAGTTCAGATATATATATAGATTTAATTGACTTGGTTCAATCACATTTTTCGCAAAGCAAATTAATCCTAGTCCTTAGGTCGTTTAAACCAATCGAGATGGTACATTATATTAGAGCCTCTATTTTATAAGCCTAAACATGTATACGTTAATATGATGTACTAATTATTTTTACAATAGAGTCATTTAAAAAAATTCAGCATAAAAAAAGGGGGATATATATACTACTAGGATGTAACTTCGAGTTATAAATAGGGGATTTTTTTTAATAATATGACTGATTTTTAATTAATAATATTTCTGTGCACTAAAGGTCTGGCATAAAATTGTATAAATAATTAAAAAAATGTATGATGATCTCTTCAGGTTTTAACTGATTGACTGAAAAATTTTTTTTTTTGTGCACACCGATCAGACGTTATAGTTATTTATCACGTTTCGAGTGGCGCCGATCGATTAAGATTGTACGGTTGAACTTTGTAAATAAATAATAAAAAAAAACAATTTTAATGTAATTTTTAACAAAACTTGTTATTGATCAACGGTTATTTTCAGTCAAGTTTAACGGACCAACAGTCGTAAATACATGTATATAAATACACACAGTAAACTCCAATTGCCACAAGGACAAGGTATCGAATTTTCTGTATGCTAATTAGCCGTTGGAATGTCGTGTACTTATCTTGAGCGTGCAGGAGTGGAGTTGATCCGTTAAATAGTGGTCGCGTTAATAGTATAAATTAACTGATAAAGTTGCCATGTGCCCAGTGAGCAATGACCCGTCAAATATTATAATAATTGTACTATTCAAATTCGAAGAAACGTTTTAATCGTTATCTCATATGAAGTTTTTTAAACCACATTAAGTATATAAAATAAAGTCAATCTATAAATTAATCACTCAAACGTTTACATGTTTGACGATACATATTTGAATTTTGCATGAAAATTAATTGAAAAATATAATTGTAAAAACACAATCGCCGGTTTAACATTTTTGTTTAAGAAATAAATTCCTAAGCACCGAGAGAGACAAGAATCAAATAACGACGGGTTTTATATTAGAAAGAAGTTGTTAGCTTTTGAAAAAGTTAGGGTAATACAAAAATAAAATAACAGAATTTTTTAGTTCAAAACTTCTGAACGAATAAAAAACATATTATTAAATGCAAGTATATAAAAATTACTCACAAATAAAACATTTTTTTTTTTAAATATTGTGTTTGTAGTACAACAAAATTGAAAAAAAAAACGCCTTAAGTGTTATACTAATATTATTCACATTTATACAAAAATAATAATAAACACTTGTACAATAATGTAGAGAGCCAGCCAAATGAAGAATAACTTTCTACCACTTCTAGGGAAAAGGGGTTTTCAAATTAAATCCTGTAGACCTGTCACCTCCCCCGCCCCCCAAGTACTACTGGTTTGGGAGAACTCTATTTTTTAATTTTTAATTTTTTAATCGCTTAAGTAGTCTTACCATCGTTTTGAGTCGCACCATTAATCACGCTGCAATTAAAATAATTATACACATAACAGTGTAAATGTATGTTATTTTATCTAATAAGATTATAATGAACTGTTACTAATGTTATTTTTTAAAAACATCCATCGGCGGCCGTTATCAGTTTTAACGGAATCGAATTTATCGCATGAATGTAATTATTAAAAAATTGCTATAAAATTACTGTGTCTCTCCAATTGGAGAACAACTTAATCAAATATTTTTGCTCAACTAATTATGCTTAACTACCACACAGATCCGTGAATTATTTTTGATTTATATCGGTAAATAATGTTTTATTTATTTTATAACATTTTTAAACCGTCTTGCCTCTTTAATGATTTTAAAAAGTGATTTTTGGTGATTTTCCTTAATGGCTTTGGTAATATTGTAACAAAATAACTTTAGAACATACAACAATGTGTTTTAAGAATTGCAGCCACATCAGTCTAGTGCAATCAGTCAATGTAGTTATAATATAAATAAGAAATATTCCATATATATATTGTAGAAACCCGGTTTTCTAAGTTATTTCACCTTTATTAAAATATATGTACACTATTCAATCATTTCAAGTAATTATTCATATTATTTACTAAAACTATACTGTCTGTTGGTATTGAGGCTATTTGAGTTGTCTAGTTTACTATAAGTTAATAAAAATGTTCAGGTCGATACTTGGCTACTGTTGGAGTGGGATGGTGGGAAAACAGCATGCCTTCTGAGGTCAGTGGTAAAAATGAATTATTTATTACTTTTGTATTGATCGTTATATTACAATATTTAAAGCTTCTTATAATATGGAAACAGTAAACCTTTAAGCCATTTAAAAAAAAAAACGTCAAAAATTTGAGGTCTAAAAATTAGCCTATTGGTAGATTTAGTGTGTATCTATTAGCATGTATAATGAAAAAAAAATAACCTATTGTTATCAAACGATGTTCCATACACAATATGCCATCTTTATTATTACATTTTTTATTGTCATTTAGCACTTTTTTTTTTGTCGTTCAAAGCCCGACCAAAACTTGTAGACGTATGGCCTCAAACGTTGGCTTTGTGTTATGCCTGTTTTACAGCTGGCTTTTAAAAAAATATTCTACACTCAATAGCTAGTCGAATAATTAACTAAGAGTTCATAGATAATAGCGCTATATAATGTCAAAATCATTAGTATATTATTTTTTTTAACAATCATTTGCAAAACGATAAGACATGATACGGTTTTCTCAAATACAATCATGTTATACATATGTTATCATAACAAATATAATTAATTTAAAACACACACTTTATTGTTATTAAATTATTGACCTATTTTAATGGTCTAAATGAAAAACGTGAGACTGATAGATGGGAATGCAACGTTAGACTGGAAAAATGGAGTGGCTTACTAGTTGCAGCGCAGGTCCTGGTTAGGTTAGGTTAAGCTGTTAAAGAAGAAGAAGAAGAAATTGTTCAGTATAATATTAAAGTATTATTATTACTTCCATAAGGCGAGCAGGATAGGCAATTTACTAACATTTTTAGTGTCGCACTGGTTGCATCTTGTTTTGACCAGTCGAGTGATTTTATACTTGTGTGTAAACAACATTTTTTAGTCTGATATTTCTGCATTAATCAAATTTTGACAAATTCACAATAGCTGTCAAATCTTTAGACATGATGAACGCCAAACATTTATGTATTTATAATTTTAATGTTATTATCAAACCAGAGACTAACACTTAAGGTATCATAATATTATATCACTATGTTACTTTCATGTGAATTTGCTCTATGTGGATATTCGGGTATTGTTCATAAATATGTGTCTACAGAGCTAAGAAATCCTCATTTGTCATAACAATCACTATGTTTCTTTTTAGTCTGTTAAGCTAACGAGATTTGTTTCCACAATACTTGTCACAAGTACACGGTGTATGTAAGTATGCACGACACGTTAAGAGTGTCAATATAATTTACTGTTCCATTTGGTGTTCTATTATTTTTTATGCAAAATGTATGTAACAACTCAAGTATCTAGTATTGCTTAAAAAATAATTTCCAAGGTAATAATGTCCTGATAATTCCATCTATCTTGTATACAGTTATTTATGACTATTTTAAAGTAAAAAAAAAAAGTCAACATTTCGTACAGAACTGTTTATTGTTATATATACGTTCTTCGATAAACAAACAAATAAATAAAATTACATTACAATATAATAATAATAATAATTAATTATAAGTGCGCCAGCACCGATGGTTTTTTAAACATGTATGGTGAACATTTTTTAATTTTTTTTTGGTTTCAAACGAAACGTTCAACACAAAAAAAATTTGACGTTTAAACATAATATATAATATATATGTATATATTATTTCAACAATTTTTTATAACTAGTTTAGAGTATACATAATAATGTATATTTAGTAATTTATATAATTTAAAAGTTTACAAATACCGAAAACAACACCGATGTTCATTCTATAATTTATATTATTATTATTATTATTATTATTGTGTAAACTATAATTAGGATCGAGTGAGGTAATTGGAAACTAAACGAAAATTAAATTGTTTCAAGTACAAATTTGAATAATATGTTCTTCTTCTTAATTTCGTTAACCTCGCTCGATTCTTAATAATAATAATATTTGCCATATCTAATGGTCTAATCTGGCGTTGTCGTTTTTGAATAATATTGTTGCGTTAGATAAAATAACGCGTATCATAATAATATATTATCATGTATTTGATTTTGGTTTTTTACACAGAAATAATATTAACGTCCCTGAATACTGAACAAATCACAGTAAAAACGACACGACAAAGTCTGTTTTCAATAAAAAATTTCGAAACTTAACACAGTTAAATAATATTGTAGTTTACAATAATTAAAAAATAAATCCGAGTGTCTATTTAAATAAGTCTACGATTTCTATAAGATTAGATAAATGCAAACGTCACTTAGGGTTAAGTTATGGTTGAAACATATTACATATTATGAAAACAATCATTAACACTTCAAATGGTCGTTCTTCTTGTTTTTTTTTTTAAATAAATGCCAATAATTAAAATCAGGTAAATCGTTTAGAATACATACATTATAATGTTTACAATATTATAATATCATAATGTTGAAGATGATCTTTAGAGTTTTGCCACGATATCGTTGTAATATTAAGATGACAGCCAGCATTTTTCAATGGTTTCCCAAGAAAATATCTATGCAGGTAGGTTTGGTTAGGTTTGGTTAGGTTAGGTTTGGTTAGGTTTGGTTAGGTTTGGTTAGGTTAGGTTTGGTTAGGTTTGGTTAGGTTAGGTTTGGTTATCTATGCAGTAAGCTTAGTGCCAGTATATTGTTGAGGGATTTATCGTTTACCGCTGGAACAAAAAAATTATAGTTTTCCTATACAGGAAAGTGATAATTCGGCATTAAAGCCAGAGAGTTTGATGATTGTATTTGTTGTATGAAATTTTCTTTGAAAATAATCCATTACAGGCAAAGGCTTTTGCAAGTTACATTCATTAAAAAATCAGTTATCGATTTGTAGTTGAGACTGTTTTCAGCACTTATGTAAGTAAAAAAAAAGACTTTTTAATTGTAAAAATATACATATACAACACATTAATGCATATTGCAAAGTGTTATAATAGGTAAAAATTTGTTTTTTTTGAGAAATCAAAATGAGAAACCGTGTATGTATATATATGGACATTCTTAATGGAAATTACAACAACTGAAAAATGCACACATCAATTTTTACCTATTTGAAATTATTTTACTTGATATAAAAAAAAAACTACGTCTTAACTTTTGCTTCTTTTATTTCTCAATTAAATTGTTTCACAATAAGTGTTTGACTTTGGAACTAGTTTGCTTGGAAATTTTCAATAATTTAACTAAACGTTTGTCATATTTAATTTTAACTACTGTTTTTTTTTTTTTTTAAACATGGAAAATATTTTATGGTACAATATTATTATCTCAACGTGGAAAAAGTGGCATTTATTTTTAATTTTTAAAACGCATATGTGTTGATATGTATGAAAGTTTATGAAGAACTGTCATTATGTTATTATCAACAGGAACCGTGGCAAACGTCGAGAAGGAAAAAAAAAACGTTTATTTTAAAAATAAATTAGGGGAATAAGAGGCGGGGGAGGGGGGGTGGTAACAAATTGTCAAGTAATAATATTGGTATTCACAAACACAATTTTTATCATGATTATCGTTTGGCCTATACTATAAGGACTGACGGCTTTTAGAATAAATACACCTCTTACATATTATTTTATATTATATATATATATATAATATATAGTTATATAAATATAATTGCAAATATAGCTGTAAATATTATCCGCAAAAATATTTATTTTAGACGCTTTTTAGATATTTGCAATGAAAAAAAAAACGTTCTACTTGCACAATAACATAAACATGAACTCGTCACACATTAAATTATTTTATTATTATTATTATTTTTAGAGTTATTTTATTCAATTATAATTATTACATAATCGTAGTCAGCATAATTGTATTCATACCAACTATTAATAATTGTTTAGTATTGAACGGGTTTCAAGAAAAACTATACAACAACTAACTGATACCTTGAAATGTCAAAAATGTATACAAGAAAAAAATATTAAGTTCACTTTTGGTTCTGCCTTTTGCTTTATAATAATCATTAAATTTTATCTTAATTTATAATATTATAACTATATAAAAAAAAAAAAAATACTTTTCGCAATTTTTTTTTTTCATTATCGATTTAAAAAATATATTATTATGTATTTAAGTATTAATGAACTCAGGTAAAACGTCGCTTATAATATATGTATGTTATTCGTGGTTATGATCATTGCCTTTTCCCAAGTCATTACACATATAAGAACTGCCTGAGGTTTTTCACTGCAAGCCTAATTCCTTCGTCGACTTCCTCAGCCGTCTTATAACTTACAACAATATCTCTCAATACAATATTATTATTGTTTTTAAATATTAATTTATAAAAATCCTTAAATCTATTACAAAAACAAAAAAAAAACTTAAATTTGTTATCATTATTATTTTTAAATCTTAAACCGTAAAGATTATATTATTTATTAATTTATAAGTAATGGTCTGTTTTAAATTGATTCCTTATTATATATATGGCTCGACGTGGTCCCAATCAGACCTATGTCTGCTGAGCCTCTCGAATACAGTCTTTTCGATTTTGTACTCCCCGGTACCGGCTTGCTTGCACAGAGTCGCCAAGATGTCTTGATTATCAACAGTCCTCGTGGGCAAAACGATCTGCAACAGTGGGATTTCGTTATAATAATATAATCCAATAGCTAGACCAGGTACCATAAAATAACCGAGAATGGCGTGGCTTACGTTTATGAGATCGTTGGGCGCGATTTTCACCAGATTTATGTCTTTTTTGAGTCTGGTCATTATGTGATGGAACTCCTCTTTGGCGTTCGCTTTAGTCTGACTCTTGTTGGTCGCCCATTTGATCATCGCCTGGAACTTGCGGACTTCCGATACTTCCAGTGGTCTACTCATGATTTGCTGGACCAACGATTCGGAAAGAGTGAGAAAATCACAATGGTTCAACACCTGCGAGGGAGACGGCGGTGACGGATTAATTAACAGATCATTTAAAATGCACACAATAAATCGCGTCATTACCCTCAACGCGTTTTGTTCGGTGTAATTGAATATCAAGTTGACCAATTCCACGGCCGAGTTGTAACGCCACACGTAGTTTTCAAGACTGTTCAGCATCAGACATGTCTGAAATAGAACGAAAAAAAAAAAATGAAAGACACGTGCGAACATAACCCGTTTGGCATGGCAGCACTGACCACTTCTACTCTGAGATGTTGCTTGGTGTGATGGAAGCACGCCTGCAACAGCTCGGGCAAGTCATAGTGCTCCGCGGCGCAAATGAGACCGGGAACGTTGGCACATGTAATTTTGCAAGAGCTTGTGTGCAAGTAATCCAGCAGTATCCGGAAAGTGTCGGGATCGAATTCAATAATTGAAAACTGCAAAGGGTAAAAAAAAACGTAAGACAACTCGTTCACAATGACATTATGTGTAGTCCGTCTTACCTCTGTTTGATTGAGCTTCGCTCGGTCAATCTTGTCACTGCCGTTATTCGGACAAACGCTGACTTTTGGCACGGACATTTGAGCCAAACGCTCTCTTTCTTTTTCCTTGTCTTTTTCTTTGTCTAAACGGGCAACGATACACGGAAATAATTAGACCTACTCTCACTTGTGGATGTGAAGTATAGACAACGAGAAGTGTGACAGCAGGGAAAATAGGTGGAGAAGGAAGTTTAACAAGCAACATCAGAAAGAACTGGGCTTAGCACCAGTCATTAGTTGGGCCGTATTATGAGAAGAAGAAACCACCGGAGCAGTTATGGAATGGAAGAGTAGACGTAGTGGAAGAGGATCTTAAAGCTCTGGGAGTGCAAGAACGAAAGGAAATCATTCAAGATCGAGAGAGATGGAGGGATGTAGTGATGGCGGCTAAGACTCTAATAGAGTTGTAAATGTTAGTGAAGAAGAAGAAGAAGAAATGGGCAAACCCATAAGTTTCAAACAAAGTCATTTCGTCTCCACAATAGCTCTGAAAAATACACTCACGACTAAAGTCTTGCGAAGAAGCCCATTTCTTCTTGTCGTCGGCCGACAAGTTTTGTTGTTTCCTTATGGACTTGCTCCAACCTGCCGTCAAAGTCCCTAATCGGGTGAACGCTCTTCGCATCATCGGAGAACTCGGTACACTTTTCGCTCTATTGTAAACATGTTACGGTTTTAACATAGGTGTGTGTAATATAAAATAATCAAAACACATAATATTTCATTTTGACAATTCTGACCTCGGCGTCTCTATATCTGGAACCTGTAAGAAGTTACTGCTCTTCGCTTTTTGCTGTTGTTGCGAAGGTAGACTTGGAAGACCTCGGGCTAGCAATTCTGCAACGGGCATTTGTGGAGACCCAAATCCAGTCGAAATACCGTACAACATTTCCTGGAACACCCTGTAAGCAAAAATAAAAGATATATTTTTTTTTTGTGGCACTGTTGTGTGTGTGTCAGAAATGGTACAGGTTGTTTTTCTATTATTCTGAAAGCGATACATACCTACTTCTGACGCCAAGAATAGCTCTTACGCCGATAAATCTGGTTTTTTGCTTGCTCTGGCCTACCAAAAATACCACGTCAAACATATGACCATTCTGAGCAACGTTAGGCTCGGAGTTAATAAAGAACTTCGTAAAGTCTTTGGCCAGCGTGTCGTAGTCTTCAAACCGATCTCTGACCGAATCCAAAAGCGGACTGGACGGTCTCATGTGACCGATTGGCCTCCAGGATCCTCTCCTTTGAAAACGGAAAAACAATAGGCGGTTCAATTAAATGAACTTTTTAGTTATCTCCTCAATGAGTGAGTGCTTACCTGTAGGGCTTGGGTATTTGTCCAGTCTCGCAATGATTTTGCAGGTTGGCCACAATGTCTTCGAGCATCTGACTTCTGGTTCGTTCCTGCATTCTGGCGAATTTCGGTGCCGAGTAACTTGCGCGTTCGCCGTTCACTATCTTTGTCAAAATCCATTCGCGAAACATGTCTTTTTCTTCGAACACCGACTGTTCCCAGAGGTACGGTTTGTACGCGCCCACCTCGTCTCTGGTCACCACGGACACCTGTGGAAAACCGACGGACACGTTGAATGAAGATCATCAACAAAAGAAACCAACTGTCGAGTTACCTCGTATTTGGTCCTTTCCGTTTTCCTTCTGATTCTCGGACTGACTCTGACCAGTATGAACGTGTGGAGGAAATGTGATTTGATACAAGCCGGCGAAAACCGAGTATTGTCAGCTTCGAGGAACACCACGCACACGATATCGTTGCCTATGTGTCTCTTCCTTTGCAGCTATAAACAAGAAGGTACAATTTTACTGCTTGGTTCATGCAACCGTACAATTTTTATCATAATACCTTTTGGGCGTCGTGAGCTTCGTACGGTAACATAGTGGATACGTGGAACATGATTTCGATGTTTCTCCAATTGGTGTACACAGAATGAGTTCCCGTCAAATCGTGCACTGTGTCCAGTCCGCCGCGATACTTATCAAAGCCTGTAAACATTATATGAGTATTACTATCGAGCGGAAATGGCGCTACCCACAGGACCTTACCGCAAAGTCTTTTGGTCTCTCCTAACAGTCCGAGGAACTCCTCGAACGCCATGCTGTTCTCGTTGTTATCCAATATCTCTTCTTCGGTGGTCTGGCCCTCCTTGACGTATATCACGCCCACTTTGAGTTCAGACTTCATGAAGACTTGGTCCAATTTCAGCAGTTCGTCCGCAGTGTCTGGCAGCTGGCCCAGCACCAGCGGTGGATTGAGATTGATTTCCTTGCCCAAGGACCTGACCACCTCTTCGCGGTTGTAACGGTCGGCAAACACGCAAGACGCCGGTATGAGACCGTGTACCGTGTAACTTATGGCTCTGACTAATATTCTACGCCAAACAAACATAATTACCGTTAAACGCATTCGGTAGTGCAGGCGCCAGCCAATACTTACCTGAATTGATCACGTCCGTTTATGCTTTCCTGTTTTAGACTCAAAATGACCGGACCGAGGTCTTCGTCGTTTGTGAAGTAATTCCAATGTTCTTTTTGATAGAAATACCTCTCGAACGTCTCTTGTTCCACGGAAGTGAGTTCAAAGCATCTGTTCTTTTCCCATTGTTCCTCTATTGACGTTTTTGGCCTAAATCAAGACAATGCAGTCGTGAAAAAACGATAATAATTGTGGGTTGGTAACGTCAACCTGTGTGTGGTGTGAGAGATAAAGTTTAATCGAATCGAAATGGTCAGTGTCATAATATAGTGTTGTATTACATGATACTATAGACGACTAAATCTGATTACAGTAGATACACGATTTATTGGGGAAAAAACCGACCCGTCTACTTATTAAGACACTTAATCCATCTAACAAGGCAAAACCGCCGTCGTGTTTTATTATCTCGTTATTTTATTACGAGTTATACTTAGTAGATTTTATAGATGCATTTATCTACTATTATATGAACACCAATGATCACTGCTCAATGATTACTCTACCTTGGTGGTGGTATGACGTAGTCGTCGTCGTACGGATAGTATTCGTCGTCTTCCAGAAGTAAACTATCCGAACCCCTAGCTCGACCGTATCGGCTACAACAGTACTCCGGGTTGCCTTCTCCCCCGTCTGAATTTGAACCGTTGTTGAGCTCCCTCTCGTCCGATCCCGATTCCTCGACGCATCCTGCCTCGCTGGTGATTTTTTGCCTAGAACATTCGATCCAGTAAGCGGGAGCTGGCGCGAAATTGTGTGGCCATTCCTCGCATATGTCATCTGTAGACAAATAAAACCCTGTAATTAATATAGGTAATAATTTAATATCTACAATCAATACACTTTATCTGCATGATTATATCTGGGAAAGCCAGGAAAACCCACAATCGTATGACTATTCATCAGTGCTGTTGGATTGCAAGGGTAAACTCCACGATTCACCTGATTCGTTTTAATTTTGGATTTGCTATCTTCTATCTATAAGTTGGATCATTCGAGATCGTTTTAGGAGAACACTCCAGATTGGGATACGGACTAGGGTGTTACTAAAAATTGACCTTAGAAAGTTTATTCACGCCCAAGGCTAATAACGAATACGCAGTTTCTTTTTTGAACAACGCCTATAGAAATCTTTTATATTTTATGTGCACATACGTAGGTATTAAACGCTTGGGGTGCGAATTCTTGACACGTAACGATATAGCCTAGATGAGATGATCCTTTCAATAAAAATTTCTGACCAACGGATGGCATACAAATTTATATATTCTCATTAAACGAATTGCGGCCTAAGGAAAGATACAAACAGTATTGGAAATATTTCGCCGGACAGTAATTGGAAGTATATCGGTCACGTATAGTTTCGAAATAAAAACAAATAATATGAATAACGCGAGGATTATTGTGGAATAAAAGTGTATACTTTTGCCAATAACAAAAAACACACCGGACACAAGTGTTTTCGTACCACGCAAGTGAATTTGCATGTACAGTTTTTGAAGCTTCAAATTAAAATAAAATATATTATATTTATATGAATTTTTTCCAAGAACGGTCTCCTCTCGTTGATGATATGTCTGAAATTCTTGTACTGCGTAGTAGTAAATTCCCCTAAACTAATGTTAACGTTGTCGTTGGCGGATAATATATTGTTGTATGTGCTCTGTATATGACCGGTCGTGCCAAGAACAAACGACCGGAGGAAGACGACACGAGTAAAATAGTAAGGCGGTGGAAAAGAAGGAGAGAAAAATATATTAATTTCCGGCACGGACATGAGCGCCTACGTAACTACTACACAGTACACACCCTAGTTTAACGCGCATATTATTTCGTTTATGCCGCTGCTAGCCGTCGACTTTATTATGTTTTAGTCATTTAATTTCCAAGACGACCGTGCCAAAGGAGTCGTGGATGCGTGGATGACTTATGGGAGGGTCGTCTTTGATGACAGAAAATTTACCTGCACGGTTGGGCTGCAAGCATAAAACAACTTTTTCAACCGAAAAGTCAAGTACTAAGAAGGTGTTAGCGCTTTGACTTGTTTAATATAACCAGATCAGACGCGTCGTCACTCGTGTGAATAAGTCTCCGACCTTTAAAAGCCCCAAAATAAGTATTTTTTGCAAGCTTCGGATAAGTTTTCGTTTCTGTGTTCAAATTTGGTAACGATGACTGCAATCTGCTAATTTATGACTGATTTACAATACACTGGACATGATTTAGTGGATTGCTGTAAAGTCTCTCTCTACTTTTGTTTAAATTTCCCATATCCTATAAGCCACTCGATATTTTTTAAAGGAGATACCGGGACTTTGTTCAAAGATTAACTACGGGAAAACAATAAAAAACCGATTAGAGTACGCGCTTTCCGAATTAGGGGCAACATTCGAGTAGGCTTCTTTCTGGTAAAAGTTTTTCGATTGGTATACGACGATTGACTTTTTAAATCTTTGTAATCGAACCCGCATTCGACAATACCAAGAATTGTGACTTTAACCGTCAGTTTGAAATCTTATATAGTGGGTGGATATTGTGCAAGGTAGATAAGTATCTGAACGTAAGAAAAATATTTCCAGTACTTCACAAACCTATGTAATAAACTGTTTGAAAAACAGTTGGAAGCAAACAAATAAAGTTTTCCCATCTAAATCATACTATTATTATTATTATTATCGTTCAATAGGTTGTCTTAACTAACAACTATAATAATAGGACTCATCCGTCTTGACAATGTACACATTGGTTTGTGTGACCTATTAAACTTGAGAACAGATCCAAATTGGTTAAGTTAGGAAATATCTTAATCTTAAATTCAAATCTTTACAAATTCATATCAAATTAAATGTCTACATATTTACGGAGCTAAAAAGATGCGTTCCCGTTTGAAAAAAAAATAACAAGTCTATACTTCTATTTTACGTATAAGGGCGAAGGTAAACATTTTCCAAGTATTGAAAAGTACATTATTATTATTATTATTATTTTTTATTAAGCGCATGCTGAAAGGATATTTTATATATTATTATTGTATTGATGGTATCCGTCCATAACGACCGGTGCGACGGTGGTGTTTATGTGCAGAATTACAACCGGAAGAACGGTTATAATGATCCGGTACATTGTACATTGTATAATATTTTATTTGCTCTTATTGAATAAATAATAAAAAGAACCGATAGAATATTATTATTTGACGATAGTACATTTTCCGACGCGTGTGTTGTAGTACTTGGAAGAGCCAATTATGTTTGCACATAACAAAACATATAAACCCAAATAAATGGAAATACATTTTTCACGTTTAACCGTTTCCCGTGTACAATCGCCGTCTGGGCAAACGAGAGTGGGTTTGCGTATCGACTGATAATATAAAAGGCGCGGGTAATCAATTATTATTTAGGTCAGGTGTTTTGTTACATCACAGGAAACGGGACACATAAGACATATTTATTGGGGAAAAAATCTTAGAAGTATGAAATCTAAGAAGTAATCCCAGTATGGATTACAAAACCGTAGGCAATAATTTTTTTTTCTTATTAACCCGCCTCGAACCGACCATAATAATTATTGTTATCATTGACTCTGAACCGAATAAAATTGAAGAAAATATAATTTAAGTATCGACATTTTTGCTTACTTTTAAAGAGACGGCTCCGGGTCTAAGACCAGCCGGCCATAATTAAGGGAACACTGCTGGACGATTAAAGCGCCAGGGTGGAATGCTAGTAAATGGCGCAAGTCGTTAGGAAACCCTCAGGACTCTGGCAAGGGAATTTAGTCGGATAGGTAGCACGTTGCAAAACGATGATATTATACAAGACTGATGATAGTTTGTTTTGCTTCTTTAAAAAAAAAAAACTGACTGTTGTTACAATTATTTTCAGTGTATATTTTGAAGGAGAAGTTAAACTTTAGACAAGTTACCCTAACTGAGTTTGTTTTCCGAAACGACACAGGTCAACTATTTCATTGATCAATTAACAATATATATATACATTTGGTTTTGTCCACATGAGAGACAATGAACTCTATTGTTTTGTTCCTGTGTCCGCCTCTAGACATGCACTTCACTAATTATTATAACGGTAAAAATCAACCTCCACTCTGCCCGACTTTTATTCTCACTTTATTTACGTTTTTATATGTACATTGTGTTGGCTGTTGTATATATACTATAATTTGCATGTACAATCTCGTTTATTTTTTAAACAAATACAAATAATATCACATTTATACATAGTGGCTGTCTCGAAGTTAATTAAAAACAGACCAATTGTATTGATGTTTTTAATAACAAACTGAATTAAAAAAAAAAACAACCCTTAATAAACGATAGGGTTTTGTAAGCAACAAACAAGGGTTGGACACGAGAAGGAAAAATGTTAATTTTAATAATATTTTCACCGTCTTGGCAAGTAAGGTGTGAATATCTTCGTTGGTCGGGACAAAGACGGCAGTAAAGTGCAGTGCATTTATAATACTATATAAGATGTATACACCCCAAGACCGTTTCACACCCTCAGGGTTGTTTAAACGGTAGTTTTTCACCGTTCTCCTTGCGCTGTTCGGCGTTTGCTTGCCGCCTCGTCTAGCCCATTGTGGTGTTTTTATACGCTTTTCCCATATTGTTGTATTGTTATTAATAATATATTATTGTTATTTACTATAATTTTAAGTCTCACACTTTCGTTAAAGCCATACCAGAGCACTATAGGTCCAATACTTCACAGCCGTTTGAAACCCCACCGTTCTTTTTGGGACACCCTGTACATTACAGTATAATTTAACCGCCGTTCAGGGTCAATGCCTAGCCATACCTAGTAGCTGTATATGAACAAATTCTATCTCGGTAAAGGCGAGAAAGAGTACAAGACGAGGGAATAAATTAAAGAATGCGAGTAAAAAAAAAACAGCCGGACGAATTTATCATGTGCCGAAAAAATATAAATTGATATCAACCGAAGCGGGCTAAACGTTTGCGCTTCGTCGGCCGTGCACAGCTATTATTGAAATTCCACACACAGTTGGCACAGAAAAAAAGGGAAATAAAAAATATTAATAAAAATAAAAACCAACGGCGGAAGACAAGGGAGAACTATATAATATTAATAGCATCTCGCCGTTCGCGTCGTTTCTCTTCGTCGTTCACAATATACTTTATCGAACGCGAAATTCAATAACATGTCAATAACTTCATTGCATGCCAATGCTATGGAAATATGTTTTATAATTAAACATTTGTCCAGCGTTTAGAAAATCATCTTGTCGTCGACAGTGTTTCAGATGATATCAAAGTATAACACTTAGCCAGAAAACTTGCGACGGTACTGTTATGAGTAAGACAGAATAAACTAGAAAATTACTAGTGTGAAAAAAAAAAAAATGATCAAGAACCAAAATTCTCAAGGTATTTTTGGTATAATACATAAATCATAGCATATTTGTGGAACTACTAATTAATATTTTATATACTAGGAAGTATGTCGCGGTACAAATATGTTGTTTATCTTAAATACACTTAGTTTGTAAACCGAAAAATGTTATATATTTTAAAAACACGATTGTTTTGTAAATACTCCGCAGTCGTGTGCGCGTGTACAACCCTGTAGTTATGACTTGAATAGCATTTGGTTTAAGGGTTCTGGGTTCATTCTATCTGTAAACCTTTTATGTATAACATAGTGCATTATTGTTACACTGTTTATTATATTCCATGTAATATTATAATCTATTATTGTAATTATGTGGTTGGGGTTGGGGTTGGTTGGGGGGGGGGG